CAAAGTGGCCTGTTATTAGGTCGGAATCCTTCACGCCAAGCCCCGCTTCCGGCAGGACAGGATACAGGTGTTGTTGGTACCCGCGCGGAGCGTCATGGTGGGCGTTGCGGAAGATCGAAATACACCGCTGCAGCAGCAGCGATAGGGGCGGCAGGCATGACTACCAACCTGCGTTCCCGAGTAATGTCTGCTAAGACGGTGCCAAGGGCGGAGTATTGCGGCATGCGGTGCCGAAATTGGATTCGACGCCGATGGCCTGGGTGCCGCCGACGCCAAACCGACCACCCCCCCTGCGAAGCAGCGATACCACCTAGCGGAAGCGGGCACACGGGGGGGGGAGTTGGAACAACGAAACGCCGCCTGAAGACCGACTGTCGCGTTCGGTCGGTCATCTTCTGGACGGTCCTCTATACGCGCTACGCTTGGACTCGGCGACGAACGAGACATTTACCCCCTGGAGAGAGCACTGCCGTGGACAAGAAAACGTGTTCAAAGGATAACTCTCCAGTAGAGAGATGACGCAGTGGTGGACGCTTCGCTAGCGTGGCGGTCAAACCTACGCGCCTTTAATTGACATTCAATCACGACGGCACGGCAGCAGCGGCAGTAAATGCGGCAACCAACAGGGGGGTCGGGCACACAGGGAAAATAATCCATGGTGCTAGGAGTAATATCTCGACGGCTCGCGTTACAGGAACAGGCAAGATCGGAGTATACCGCAGTATTCGCTGAAACTCTCCGGCAACGAGAACGGGCCACCCCCCACAATACACCGAGTGAGGGAAAGCCTTTATTACTGTGAGGGAGAATGGATGATCATTGTCCGTTTTCACCCCGCCCCGACCTCTGCGTTTTCCCCTAAGATAGATGTTGATTCTCCCCCTCACTCACGTTTTCACCGCCCCACGGGACGTTTGCAACAGAATGCAAAGAGTCACTTGCGACGTCTCCTCCCCTCAAAACTCCCTGAACGGTGGAGCCCGAACCTCTAAGACTTCCCAGGGGAGCCGTTCCTTGCTTCTACTGTACTGAACGTTGAATTATACAGCCTTATGCTAATATTGCCATATTCCACTCTTTGGCCTCTTGATATTCAGACCAGATCTCGTTTTTTTTCAACTGAAATAAACTTGTCTCATGCTTTTCCCGGTGGACGTCCTCAAACGGGTTTTAATTGACAGTAGTCGTAGTCTTGGAAATAGTCGACTACAGTCCAGCCGCCAAGTGGCGGCGAGAAAGACGGTGTGAAGAAGGTCGCGACAGGGAGTCCTATGGGCGACGATAGGTGCCGCGGCGGGCGAGTTTGAACTGGTTTGTGTCACCATCTAGTCGCAACGTACGGGAGAAGAAGAAGCAATATAGTCTCCAGGCAATTGGCAGCGACTTCGGACAGCAGCAGCATATTGTGTAAGTAGGGAACACAGTTATCAATCGCCGTACGCTGTGTTGGCGTAACAAGCACAGACAACACAACTCACGCCCAGATAGTTAGCGTGCTTCATTCAGATCATGCGCCATCAGGTACTTGTTTGAGTATGGTCACAACCACTATCTTTCCGTCTGCGAAACGAAGACGATTGATTCTCGTCTGTTCCGCAAGAAGGCTGGTGGGGTGGTGGCCAGCGATGTGCGCTCTATGGCCATAGGTGGGCAAAATACGGGTGCGGGGTGGGAGGGTCATCATGCTCGAGAAGCAAACAAAGAGCCCGACATGCAGAGGGCTGGAAAGCGGTGATTGAGCAAGATGTCAGCCATTTGTATTGTCAAGGACGAAAAATAGTCTATCCGACGACAGAGATACGAATATGTTGTGCCCGATGAAGCTTTCGAGTGGGTTGCCTAGATGCGTCCTGGCTTGTGATTTCAGATTATCGAGAGGATTGTTAGTGGTGCTGTTGAGAGGTGACAGTAACGAAGTCGTCACCCCGCGGGATGCGAGTCCGGCGACAATGATCTCTGTTGTTCTGTTCCTTGTCGACGTAGATATATATGATGCAACCCATGCACTTTCATTGCCATCGATGAAAGGTTGGATTATAACTAGAAGAAATAATTAAGTCGGTGGCAATTTTTTCGAAGAAATGAAAACAAGGTTTTTCTTTTTCCATTCGTTTCGGACGACTACTATGTATCAGGACTGCGTGGAGATAGTTTATTTCACGATCAATTCTGCTCCACCTATCAGTACCAAAGGCATCACTTCTCGCTCTCGTTGTTTCAGCCACGCCTTCCTTCTTCACGGTCAGTCCTGCTACGCCCCGAGTCGAGATCGGCTCGAGCCTTCAGAAAGCTTCTTTGCCTCTGATACTATATTTTGACTAGGGTGCAGTTGTTTCGTCATCAGCATGCATGGTTGAGTCTCCTTGATTTACTTCTCCCTTCCTTCCGTGGATGTACATGTTCGCGGCGGGCTATGTCCTTGCCCTTGTCTCCATGAGTGGCGTGCTTGTACCACCTCCTTTTCTCCGCTCTTGCTCATGAGGCAGTACCACTCACTGCGACATTTACTATGTTTGTTGTGGGTGGTCAACAGATTTTGTACCATGTGTTACGAGGCAGGTGTAACCAACCAACCAAATCACAAGAAAAAACAATCGGAAGGAAATACAGCAGTACTAGTCTACTTGTTTTGTGCGCGTCGTGCACGTCAACAGCATAGACTGCATACATTTGAACTAACAGACAGATGGAAGTGCTATGTGGTACGTACATACCCCATAGTAATACATAAATAAATTCGGCATGACGTTGCAGCAAATTTATCTTGCTCTAGTTTATTTCTGTAGACTAGCTCATGCCTACGTCGTCACCCACTGATCTCATGGTGTAGTCGGTAACACTGCAGACTCTGAATCTGCCACCCCGAGTTCGAGTCTCGGTGAGATTAGCCTTTTTCCCTGCAGGAAACCCCGACTTCCTACTCTTCTTTCTCCTCCGTTTTCTATGGTTTGCTGTTGTACTGCTGTAGCTCCACCCTCCATACTCTTGTGTCGGGTGAACCGATTCCAGCGTTTGTTTCGCGTTTTTTCATCTCTTCTGCCCTCTCGCTGTCGATTGGTTCGTTGTGTTTGACCATACAGACAGGTCAGTAGTGTGTAGTGGTCATCCCTACCACAACAGTATTGTTATTAGTCTATCGAAATCGCTCCGCTTGTGCTCGCTCAGAATCCTTGCAGAGGCAGAGTTTGTTCGATGTAAACCTATAACTAATTGTTGTAGTGTGTTCGACACTGCTGTTAGACACTATTTAGCCGTACAGCCTGCGTAATATTTATTTTATTTTATTTATTTATTTTTTCTCCCATCATTGGATTCTGTCGTCTGCCCCTCTGGCCCCTATCCTCCGCTTCTACTAGCTAGACAACCCAACCGGGGTCACATAGGAGGGGGGGGCTGGACCCCCTCCTGCGGTTCCTGCCTGGCGTATTTTTATCGCGAGAAGGGTACAGCAATCCCTTCCCTCGCGACTTACGAAGTCGATTATGGTTAACTAACAACGAGCTTTCTTTCGGCCGTTTTAAACGGACCGACTTTTTTGTCAAAATCTTCGACATTTGTCTTTCAAAAACTTTGAACCTGTGTGCAGTCATTTTAAACGTGTGACGTGGACTTGTGCAACTTGTTGTGTCAAAAAAAATGACGCCGTCCGTGAGTTGTAGCGCTCACTTCGAGACAACACACACGACACAACACAAACCGCGGAAAACACGACATCATGGACACCGACATGGATATCACGACCACCCAGCGTGGCCGGCAGACCAAAACCCCGGCGAAATTCCAGCAGACGGGCTCTCTCGGTGCCGCCGTAGGCGGTGGAGGCTTGCTCTCCAGCAAGATAGTGCTGCTGCCTGGCATCTCGGGGAACACTCATGTTACCACGGGAGGCGCTGCCGCCACCAACACTCAGAGCGAGGGTGGAGCAGGCCGCCGGCGAGGGGTAGCAACCACTTCTCCTACCCCCCCGGGAAAAGGAAACAACAAAGCGGCGGACGCGAAGCAACAACTGCAAGCCATCATGGCGGACCGCCGTTTTTCGGACGACACAGCAACAGCAGACACCATCGTCAACGTTGGCAACAGCGACGATAGCAATAGCGACAGCGACAGATGACTCACACACAACCCTAGCTGACTTTCTGCGGTGAGGGGCACTCGTGGTGCAGACGCAGCAGCCCTCGCGTGCCTCTGCAAGGGTACTTTGGAAAGTGCTCCAAATACTTAGAGAGGGTTGTCAAAAAGTTGGAACGAAGTGGAGCAAAGTTTTCGCGCCCAACTTCGTTCCAAATATTTTTGAAAAAATGGAAAAACGCCTACATACAGGTTCCATTTTTTTGACACTTTCAAAAATTTTGACAAAAAGTCGGTCCGTTTAAAACGGCCCTTTTTTGCAGCGCGTCGCTTTCATTCTAGACCAGGATTTATTTAGTGAGAAAAAAAACTCACCCTGCTGGGACTCGAACCCATGACCTGGCCCGTAATATGTGCACTGCTGTACCAAATATGTACGTTGTGTAGACTAGACTTCTAGATAGATCTAGTGCTCAATCAAGTTCTTATTTTTTTGCTCTCTCGCGGGCTGTGAGCATGATGATCTACTGTACGTACACGCACATTTTTCTTCTTGCATTGTGCCTCTTACAACAGCAATAGTTTACTGTCAGCATTTGCTACCTTGTTTGTAATAGGTGATGATGGAGTGCGAAGCAACTCACTGTGGGCCGCCGCTCGCAGAAATCTTCCACTGAGTCGGCACGGAAATAGTCTAGTCCAATGTGCCAAGTTTAAAATTTGTAATAAATCCCGCCGCACAACCGTTTCATTTTTTTTTCGTTTCTATTCGTCGACAAACTATTATGCTGTACACTTTTGTGCTGTGTACACCCTGGACGACGTAAAACTTCATCTCTCGCATTCAAATATATCGTCGCCCTGTGTGCATGAACACGACACGTGCATGATAATCAGAGTTGCCTTAACGTAGCTATAAGAACGACGACATGCCACGGTCGACGCCTGAACTTCGCCTCGAAGCGCTACCCCACGACGACTTCGAAAGCAGTCAGGGTTTTGACAACGGCCTGATCGTCGATACTGATGAGGAGTCAGAAACACCTCCTCCACACAATGAGGGCATTATACAGCGACCGAGCGCGAGACTCGTGAGTCGTCGCACCGACGACACCGATGATGGCGGCACTAGCAGCTCCAAGACTAAGCAGTCGCCGGCTGGCAGTCGGCTCTTGTCTGTGACTTCCGCTGCCCTCACTCGGGTGAAAGGCATGACCCTTCGCTCAGGAACAAGCGGCAGGGTGCTGAACCCGCGCTCAGTTACGCTAGTCTCCAGCCTCCTTTCTCCGTCGAGAGGGAAAAAGGGGGTTGATAATGATGGTGCATACGGAACCTCAGAGGAGGACAGAAGTAGAAAGGACCGGCCCTTCTCACAAGACCACGTCGAGAATGACAAAAGCGCGCCATGGGTCCAAGATCCCGGGCAAGACAATGACGGTGGCGATACTAAAAGCAACAAGCAAAAGCTCTCGGCCCTATTCGACGATGAAGTAAGCAACGCTGAAGACGGGACCGAAGAGGGAGCCAACACTTCGAGCACTTCAACAAACGACTCAAACGCCGCTACTCCGCGCTCCAAATGGGCGGCCACGCTCATGGCGTCCACCCTGGCGAGAGAGAAGGCCACAGGGAAAGCAATGATGCGAAATCAGGTTGATCTGCTGCCCCACCCGCGAGAGGCAGCGAACAAGGTTTGATGGTATTCTGGACCTACTGGGGGTAGCATCAGTTATACGAGCCTACATGTTGGTTCTGTGTACAAACAATGCAGCCACGTCCATCCATACTTAGCATGGACAGCACAAGTATTGACCAATCACTTCGAAATATCGAAAACCAACAAATGTGCACAAGTTGCACATGGTCTGTCACTCGAAAACATCCAATTCGAGACGCGAGTGCGGCTCCTCTTTGCAAAGACAAAGCGCCGACATCGTCAAGTATGCGGTGTACGCTCTTGTGCAATCTAGCGTGAAGGAGGGTACTACTGTACAGAACTGAATTAGCAATTATCTCCAAGAACCGGAATTTGAATTGAAGAGTTGCCACACGGTGCGAAGAGCTAACTTCAGCACTGCGTGCCCCTCAACGAGCTGCAACACATTATAGGAATTTCATCGACCCGCCGACCTACTTACCCCGACCCCGTTCCTTCTTCGACTAGATCGACTACCTCGTCATGGTCTGCAAGGCGGCGCAGGCTTACGCGTCCACGCAGGCTACCCGGTTGTCCAGGGTGCGTGATGGGCAGCACATGATCAACCAGCTCCGGGACGTGGCCAGCGACCTTGGCCGCCAGGCGGAGAAGATGCTCGCCGTGTACGACACGCGAGAGGTTCGGAACTCGGCGGACCGCCTCGGGGAGACCCTGAAGGGTGTGTACGACCTGCTGGGCGACGTCGAGGGCACGGCGATCATGTTCGGCAGGAAGAGGGGCTTCGGCAAGAGGGTGTCCGCCCTCGTGCACGACATCGGGACGCGGGCCAACGCGCTGCTGGCCGCGACCTCCCTGGCAATCGCAGACAGGTGACGGCCAGAAGAGACGGGGAGCAGAGGTTAGAGACGGGATGCCTTTTATAACAGGGAGCCTGTGGGATGGATGCGTGTTCCTACGTGTATACGGCTGAGTACTCTCGTCCGGTGGGCAACGTAGGCCTCTCGGTTGTTGGGGTCAAAGGTGCCGGAGTATAGCCCTTCCACAGACAACGTGGCCGAATCGACGCAAGGTTGTGTCGCGTTCATGTTGCCGGCAATCGAGGGTCGACAAGTTGTCCATTCGTGAGCTTTACACAAGGAAAAGACCCCGAGACGGCAGCGAGTGGGGGTGGGACGGCGCCTTGCCATGGGGTCTGCATGCCGACGTCCATCAGGTGGCACGCAGAAGAGTCCTGGCATGATTTTTATGTTCGTGGTCTCTCGCGTCCCTAACCTAGCTACTCGTTACACGCCATCGACTGTGCAGGCCAAACGTTCTGTACATGGCGGACACGGGAGGAGGCGATCCTCCGGCCCCGCAGCAGCAAGAGCTCTTGAAGATGTGCATAGAGGGAGACAAGGTACGCATGGTTGATATGCAGCTCGAGCGTACCCACATGTGTCTACATCACGGCTCCGAGTCCGTCTGCCTACACAGGTCTGGGGCGATGAGCCTGACGTTCTAGATCGAGTTGCATTGAAACCAGAACGGTACCATCGGTATGCGCGAGCTCTTGAACAGAAGCATGCCATTGCCGAAATCAGTGCTTCAACGAAGCAGGGATGTCTCGTTACACTCTACACCCTTTCCTGGTGCCCGCTGTTGACATCCTTGAAACGAAAAGTTCGGGACTATTAGAAACAACCAAAAATGGAAGAAGTACCTATAGGAACATGTGCAGTAACTTCGGTAGCGGTCCTCCAGCATGATCGGCGAAGAATCGGTACAGTGCACCGACCTGTTTGTGCATCTTCTCCCGCCAGCGTCACGAAAAAGATGGCACGCCCTTGTGGCGCCCATCCTCGTCAAATCAGACTCTCTCTCACTGACACCATTCTCGCCATGAGAGCGCCGCTTTCGCACCACCTTGTCTTTCCGCAACTCAAGAGTGTGCTCAAGAACATGTCGTTCTGTGAGCCTGCGCACGCACTGACAGAGTCACGCCATTCCGACGTCGACGATCGAGCTCAGAAACAACGCCTCCTTTTGCCGTCGTATGCGTGAAACAACACCACTCCCGAGACAGTTCTTCTTTGGGCGTGGCGAGAATCCAAATATGTCCAAGGCCTTCGAAGCCTACGCCTGGGCGGCGGAGCGTGGCTGCGCGGAAGCCATGTACATGATGGCGTGGATGTACAGGGTTGGAAGCGGCAGCGTTGATGCCGACGCGGAGCAGTGCCAGCGGTGGCTAGAGAGGGCGGTCGACAAGGGCTACGCGCCCGCCATGAACGACCTGGCGACGACCCTGCTCGAACAGGCGGATCGGACGGAACGTGCCCACCCGGAGCTCAAAGCAGATGTTGCCGCTGCCGACGTTACCGCTTACAACCCTACCGACGATGCTGACAGGGGACTTGGTGTAACTCGACCGCTTACGCCTGATAATCATACCAGCGGAGGATCTGAAGAAGGGTTGCCGGACGGTGGTAGTAGCGGGGACGGGGTTGGTGGTACCGGTCAGGGGGAAGGCAATTGTAAGGGGGTTGGGGGCCGGCAGGTGGAAGCGGATGAAGACTCTAGCTCGCTGCCGCCAGAGCTCGCTCAGCTGTTCGAGCAGGTGATGGAAAAGCGAAAGAGATCGATGCAGCTGCTCCAGGATGCCGCCAAAACGGGACACACGGAGGCCATGACCAACCTTGGCAACATGCAGGAGGCCATGGGCTATTTCGAAGATGCAAGGAGTTGGTATAGGTAAGGTCGTGTGAAAGAGAACGGGCTCCCTACCTTCCAGCATCCGTTATGCTCCAACTAGCGCTGGCGCCTTGCGTGATCAAGGGCTAACCACGCACCAACTGTAAACCAGGAGGCGAAAACAGAAAATCATAGGAGCCAGGAAACTCAACCCAAGCATGATGGATTAGTACGGAGAGATTTCGGGCCTGAGGTGTTGCTGGAAGTGCCTACGTTGTCTGCAGTTTCCCTTCTTCCTAGCCGTCTCCCCGCCACATCGGTTTTGCACCAAGTTCGACGCAATCGTAGTTCTTCCATCTTTGTCCTTTCCTCTCCTGCACCGACGACAAACAACGGCAAAACAGTCTCGCGGCGCATCCTTCCGAGTCAGCCAACAACCCGAGAGCCCAGAACTACCTCGGCACGCTTTTCTACGAGGGGCGAGGGGTGACGAAAGATAGAGACGAGGTGAGTTTTTTTTTTTCTTGCCGTTGGCAGCATGGACCGTATTCGCTTTGCAGTCGCAGCAACGTGCTCGGATACGAGATAATGGGGGATAAACAAGACCTAAGTTGAGTTGTGTCACAAGCTATTCGTTTGGTTCTTTGAGGAATGTGAAGTTTGAGCGATGTTTCACTGCCCACGCGTAAACCATCGATTTTCGCTTAACCAAAGCAACCAGGTTTCGTGGTAAAAGCCTGCTCGAGCTCCAGTGTACCCCCCTTGCACCATTGAATCTTTCAGGCGGTGAAATGGTTCCGCCTCAGTGCCCGACAGGGTTTCCCCCAGGCTTGCCAGAACCTCGGGATGTGCTACCAAACGGGAGCGGGAGTTGAAAAGGATCTACCGAAGGCCGTACAGTTATTCCGGCAAGCTGTGGAGGGTGGGAGGTGCGTGCACGTGGTGGGGGGGGCGGCCGGGGGGGGGATGTTTTCACGCTTGTCGTACTGAAGATAAGGCAGCGAGCCGAATGACTTGCTCGGTGTGGCCTCTGGCATGGGGGTTGTGGTGTACAGACCATGGCGCGGTGTTTGCGCGGTTGATTGGGTAAAGTTCGAGGAGGACGAGAGCAACGCGAACAAGACAAAGCTGTTGAAAACGAAACACTATTAAGCTTCCCAGACATCGGGGTTCCCCACGTGTACAGACCATGGCGCGGTGTTTGCGCGGTTGATTGGGTAAAGTTCGAGGAGTACGGGAGCAATGCGAACAAGGCAAAGCTGTTGAAAACGAAACACTATTAAGCTTCCCAGACATCGGGGTTCCCCACGTGTACAGACCATGGCGCGGTGTTTGCGCGGTTGATTGGGTAAAGTTCGAGGAGTACGGGAGCAATGCGAACAAGGCAAAGCTGTTGAAAACGAAACACTATTAAGCTTCCCAGACATCGGGGTTCCCCACGTGTACAGACCATGGCGCGGTGTTTGCGCGGTTGATTGGGTAAAGTTCGAGGAGTACGGGAGCAATGCGAACAAGGCAAAGCTGTTGAAAACGAAACACTATTAAGCTTCCCAGACATCGGGGTTCTCCACGAACGGATGTCATCTGAGGAGAAGCAGGGTAATGTACACGGTGTAATTTATTGTTGACAGGGAGTCAAAGGCCTCATGCTCGCTCTGCTTGATCTTGTATATCGCTGCAACTTGGCTATGTAGAACAAGAGTACGAACAACTTTCACCTCCTGCCCTATACGCCTGCTACGATCGAGCGCGTTACACGGCGCTCGTCATCTACAGCCACAACCTTGATAGACGAAAGCCCGGCACGACAGTTCGCAAGACTCCGCTGTCTATCCGTTCAGAAAAGAGGTGCCATGGCCACCTGCTACAACGCCGTCATCCGTCAGACATGCAGAAAACGTCCAATGACGTCCATGTTTGATTCTGTTTGTCTCCCCTCTTCTTTTACCCCGTACCACCAGCATATCCGCCACCAACAGCCTCGCATATCTGCTGGCCAGAGATGCTCTCCATACGCTTGCCGCCGCCGCCCGCCAAGCCCCCCCGGGACTGGACCAGCGCAATCTTTGCGCCAGCGTCGCCGGCACCGGGCTACACTTCGAAGACCCTTCGAGGGGGATAATGAAACCCGCCGGGCTGTCCTCCCAAGCTTCAAGCAAGGTACAGCAGTACCATGACTCACATCCCCGCTCGCCACCGCGACATGTATATACTGAGCTTACGCTAGTCGTGCTACGGATAAGCGAGTCAGGGAGCTGTGGTAAAACTTGCACCGAACGCGCGGAGTTCCAGGCGACTGGAGGAGAACTCCTGAACAGGCATGGCCACTCACGCATGTTCCTGTCGGGGTACTCCTCTAACCTCAGCCCACTCGAGACATGTTCGTCGTTTTCCATATGTCGCACCTGCTCTTCTGATTGGATGCTGACTCTTCCAGGTCTGGCGTGAAAGCACGGCGCAGCTGCGGGAGGCCGCAGACCTATTCAGGCGTGCTGCGGACAGCGGCATCGGCGACGCCTCCTACCAGCTCGGGCGGCTCTACCAGCAAGGGTTGGGGATACCACTTGACCCGGTGGCCTCGTTCGAAAACTTCTTGGCCGCTGCCGACGGCGAGGTGGTCCATCCCACGGCAGGCAAGGACGAGGACAGCAACAATGGAGTATAGCAGGAGGAGCAGGCAGGCAGGACAGAGGAGGAAGAGACAAGGGGGGGACGGACGGGGTACTCACAATTCTTTGTTGTGTTGCTTGTTCGAACCTTGGAGAAACGTTGGACCACGCTTGGCTTGAGAGAGGGATTTTAACGCACGCTTTGCGTGACACGAAAATCTGGCTTTTGCGGGGCACGGAGGCTTCCTCTGTACCCTCCTTCGGTGCCATGATGTGAAAAATGTAGCCCATTGCCCAACCCCCCGGATTTGTGCCCCTTTGTAACAGCCGCGTGTGTGGGCGATATGCTCTACACGGGGACCGGCTGTCTGCGTGACTACGGCGCGGCCTTGCGCTACTACGTTCGTGCCGCTCATGCCGGGGAGGCAACCTCCGCCAACGCTGCAGGACTGATGCACGAGCTGGGGCGCGGGGTACCGAGGAACTTGGAGGTTGCGAACTTTTGGTATCAGAAGGCCGCAACTCTGGGGTGAGAAATTTATACGCTTTGGACACATAAATTCAACGTTAGAGAAACAGGGTAGTAGCGAATGCGATGGAGACGCGAACAGAGAGCAGTACTCTTGATCTTGGACCTGGTGATGCTGTAACACAGAAAGCCGGGGAGGACAACCACGGAGCCTGCCATGCAAGCAACGGGCAGGATGGACATCTAGCCTCCAGATCGCCGAGTTTTTGTGGTAGTATTAAAGGCACGCGAACGAATAGTCCGTGCGATGAAAGAATGGGAGATTTACAAGCAGGTCAGGGAGGATGGATAAGGAGCAAGATAAATCGTCAAATGTGCCCCGATAGTGATTTGCTGCCCGTTTGTAGCCTTACGTGCGAACAAGATGGGGGGCGTTGCCTGTAATTTCTTGATACTCGCAAGAGAGCAAAAACCATTCGGACAGATAATTCCTTAATAATGATGGATGTCGACCACATCGACAAACGAGCACAAGGGGCAAGTTTGGTCTTTCGCCAGAAAAATGTTAGCTGATTGAACCGCCTTCCTCCATAAGACCCAATAAGGTGCACCATTTGATGCCCCCTACATCTTGACTGCATCTGGATCGTGGCTGCGGATTACCCCCCCAACCCCCGACGCGAACCATGGAAGTGGGGGATCGAGGAGATTGCAGTAGTGGACCAGTACACATTCCTCGGAGTAGAGATCGCAAAATATCGCTCGTGGAATGCACACATGTCCAAGGTAGCGGAAAAGGGCAAAACACGAGCAGGGAAGCTGCACCCAATACTCGCAAACCGGCACCTCGATACACGCATCAAATTGACGGTTTTGAAGAGCGTAATCGTACCGCCGCTAGAGTACGCCGGAGAAGTATGGGAAGGAAATAAGAAGGTAGTGAAAGAACTCGAGGCGGCGCAGATGAAAGCAGCGAAAACCATCCTAGGATGCTCCAGGCGCACAAGTAATGCAGCATGCAGGGCAGAATATGGGATCCAATCCCTACGGTCGGGAAGAGACGCGAGGAAGCTGAC